CTATGGCTCAATTTTATCATCGTGCAAAATGAAACTAGTACGGTAACTATGTGATGCATGGACAATAATATTAAGAGAAGCATTTTGTATTGGATGATGAGATCATTGTTTCAAATATAAAACACTTTTATTGAAATAAAATAAAATGTTATTTATACATTAATAAACACTTCATTATACACAATATTATTTGTTCGGATTTTTGGCATTGTATTAAAAATCAGCTTAGGCGGCCGCCTAGACGCTAGGTTCTGCCCGGCCGCCTCCGATTTAAATAAATTGGCTGAAAAAATCGGTCAGACGGTTAGGCGAGCCTAGGCGCCCCTAGGCGGCTTGGCGGGCTTGGTAGCCAGGCGACTCGACGACAATTGTTCAAATTTTTTATTTGTATTTTTTTAAATACTAATTACATTATTTTTATAATATAATAATATTATTATTTGGACTTAGGTGTATTGATTTATTATAAGTTGTGATAGTTTTCTTTTGTAGGTAGTGAAAATAAATAAAAAAATAAGATAATTAATCTTAAGTTCTAAGTCCCGCTTAGTCGCCGCCTAGGCGCTGGTTGAGCGCCTAGCGACCGCCCAATGACTTCTAGAACACTAGTTTTTGGTACATGGTCATGACCACAAATTAAAATCTTTAAATTCTTACGAAGCGTGAAACAACTACATACAGCTGACCGTGCCTGAACACCGATTTCTTCAAGAACCGATCAACATGTGATATCCCTTCCGCCCCCCCCTTTTGCATTTGACATTGTATATCCCGTCACTTTTTTTTTCTTTTTTGCATTTGATATGGTATCTCTAATAAAATATAGCAGATTTTTTTTTAATTTGTATCGGTAGTATATATCACTAATTGTGCGTTGAAATAATTTGTAAAGATTGATTTGATCTATCGGGGTTAGTGTTTGAAGCATGTGCTTTACTTATATTTAACTATTGTTAGTATATATAAAAAAAATAATATTAAGATATAATAATTTTGGTAGTAAATCAATCGATATGTTGAATAAATGAAAGATATAATATGATTTGTTTTGCAAGGAAAGAAAACTCTGATAATCATTAGTATAAAATATAGCATATTTTTTTGAATTTAAATCGGTAGTATTTCTCCGACAATTAGGTGTTGATATCATAGTTTTTAAACCCGGCCCGGTGATCAACCCGGGCAGGTCCTCGGGTCACCGGGTCACCGGTTAAACTGTCGGGTCACCAGGTCAATTGTTGAACCGGATAATTAATTTTAAAATTTTTAAAATTATATATAGAGTATTTTTGTTATATAAATATACATAAAAGTAACAAAATTAAATGTTTTGTGTATAAAATTTGTATATTAAAGTGTTAATAATATGTATCTCATGATAAATATTTACCATATAAACATATATACATATTTTTATTTTTAAAAAAACAAAAAAAATAAAAAAAATAAAAAAAATATATATGGACCGGGTCAATGCCCCAGGTCGGCCGGGTCTCTGCCGGGTCGGCCGGGTTTGACCGGGTCCTTGGTTGCCCGGTCCAAATACTCCACCCGGACCGGTTCCGGCTCCGGGTCAACCGGGTCCCGGGTCGACCCGCCGGGCCGGTCCGGATCTCAAAACACTGGTTGATATGATTTGTAAAGATTGATTTGTATTTATCGGTATTAGTGTTTAAAACTTTTGCTATATTTACCTTTAACAATTGTTAGTATAAAAAAATCTGTTAATTAAGATATAATACTATGTATAAATCTTTTATTGGAGAATGAATACGCTATTTGACCCAATTTACGGTTTATATATCTTTATTTTATGAAAATGCAAAAAAAATAAAAATAATACAACTCTTTATTAATAAAAAGAATGCTTTTATATAATATCAACAATAAACAAATAAAAATTTAATAAATAATGTGTCGTATGAATTCTTGAACTATATACATATCACGGGTTCCCAAGTTATTCCCGAACGAATGAACTCTTGGATCATTAGTGAACAGAAGATGAAATTCGTCCAGATTCGTGCTTGCATTGTTCATCCTATTCGACTGTTGATTCACATTTTCCACATTTCCCGAGCTCTCCTCGCGAGATGTCAAGATGTTGAACTTAGCCACAATAGGGTCTACATGCTCTCCATTGACACTCTTAATGGGTTTTTGTAGTCCTTCCATATGCATAGGCTTCGCAGTTCGCACTTTCTTCTCTGGATTTCAGAATATTGAACCTTCTGAAGAATGGGCTATGGGATTGGGCCATCACGATGGGCCTTAGGGCCCACCTCAGAAACTGTGATGCCTTCCAGTGAAACATAAACTTGAGGCACTTCACTATCTTCGTTGTCTGCTGAGCACATTCACAGATCAGGGTTGCAGACTTACAAGCAACAAACATTATAATTAATTACACAAATGCCCCCACGACTTACCCCTATTATCTTCGTCTTAATAATTCTCTTGAACTTGTTTCATTTTAGTCAGGATGTATTTTCTTAAAAATAACAATATAATTTATATTAACATATTTTAAAATGATAGCGTACCATGTAATATTAAAAATATCACCATACATACTCAATTTAAATATGGTTCAATGCATTTTAATTATGGTTAATTAAAATGCAGGAAACATATATAGATCATTTCATTCATATAATTTATTATCCATCTTATATATTATTAATTATGGTTAAAATGGATGAAACATATATATAGAGTAGAGAGAGAGAGAGATTTCATTCATACCATTTATTATCCATATTATATATTATTATGCTCATTTCACATTCCGAAAACACACATACAAACACACACAAACACATGCGACATTAAAGAAAAGAAAGGCAACACACAACGTCAAATTCAAATTATACATATATATGTTGTTCAGATTTGGCGGCAAAAGTCATTGGCTGTTGACCGTTCTGCAACTCCATCGAACCTCACCTTCCCGTTTCTGGCTGCCCCTCGTTATGACATCAATATTCCCCATCTTCACCATTGCAGCCTTAAAATCGTCAAGCCACTTCTCCTGATTGACCGCATATTGGTTCACTTGTCCAGTGGTCTGTTTGCTTGTCAACAGGGCCTGATCTGAAGTGAACAGGCCTCTGTTCTTAATTAGGCTCTTGTAGTATGTGTTATCGAAATCGGCTGGGGTTATAGGGTCCATGAAAACAAACGGATTTTGATTGGAATATGTTGGGTCTGGGCACTCTTGCATCAGCTCGGCCGCGTAATTTGGGTCCAGGCCCGACTTCTTGCTGTAGAGCCTCTTGCTGAAGGAGGAGCAGTGGGACTGCCCGATTGTGTGCGCGCCTATAACACAAATACATCAATTTTAATTATTTTTTATTTTATGAATATATATATATGTAATGCAAATGTTCGAAAAAAAAAATTAGTACATCAATTTAAAAAACTCCAATTTTTTCCAAATGGTCATTGTTCCTTTGTAAATAATATTGGTTAATAGCCTTATCATTTTCGTAAGAGATGAAATATAGTCAATTTTGTGTGGGAATATGAAATATAGTCATTTGTTGTTATGTGAAACTAGTGCGTGGCCCGTGCGATGCACGGGAAAACAATATTACGATTGTATTATAAATTAAATATATAAGTAACATTAATTATGATTTATCCATTGTTTTTAAATTAAATCGGGTTGGACACAGTCCGACCGGATGGACCGAGAACCGGTTTATAACCAGTCTAGTTCGCTGGAATAAAATATTTGCTCTCGAATCCTTCAACACCAGGTAGGATCGATTTTCTAAATAAATTTTGTTATATTTAAAATTATTTTAAATGAAATTACATATTTAAATAAAATAGAGATTTATAAATTATTTATCAATTAGTTTAAACATTTGAATTTATAAATTGTTTAAATATCTAAGTAACACATTTTATTTAAATTTATTACAAAAAGTACAATATATATATATATATATATTAAAATGTTTATAAATTAAAATATGAACAAACCACAAGTGATTTAATAAAATAATTTGATCGTTTTGATGATGGTCCAGTTTTGAAAACCTTATATTTACTGTATATTGATAAATATTATAATAAAATATTATTTAATTCACATAAATATTAATAAAATGATATCTAAATATTCATAAATCATTAAATATGTCGCAATAAAAGTATTGTTAATACGATTATTTGAAATTTGGACTGCATCACATTCACGTAATAAAATATTTTTAATATAAAATTTATATTTAGGTTCAATAATCGATTTTGTGTGGTCAAAAAAATACATAACTTAGTCACCTGGGACCAACCAAGTTGTGTCAAGTTTTTTTTACTATTTTAAATATCACATAAAAGTAATTCAATCAACCTGGGCAATATTCAATCACCCGATTGATCCAAAGAAATTTTCTTATTTTCTTTACATATTTTTAATTTTATGAAATAAAAATATTTTATGATTCATATAATAAATGTCTACACCAAATGATAGTATAGTAAGATTATAAATTATATATCTAAAGATGAATAAATTATTTTTACTTTATGCATATTAATACAAAATAAACATAGTAATTTTCAAAAAATTAAGATTAATTGATTGATTATTCAATTTAAAGAATATTTTTAGCGTTCAATATTTTTTTTAAAGGCACAAATACAAAGACCGAGATTCTAAAATTTTTGTTATATTTTGAATTGAGATTTTATAAATATAAAAACCGAGATTTTAATGTTGTTCATTATTTCTAAGAAAAAAATAAAAATAAAACTTACACACTTAATAAATCTTTGCCGAATTTTTTAAATAATAAAATGAATTAAACCTCGAAATTTAAGGTAGCATTTAATGTTGTATGATTTTTAAAGAAAAAAATAAGAAAAATAATGAAACTTACTATTTATAGGCTGCATTAAATTTTGACATATTCTTTTGCTACTATTTTTAGTAAATGTTAATTCTTATTATATATATATAGATGACACGGTTATCTTTACTATCAGAAATCGTTCTGGAGAAGCTGGGACTTGAGCAATGGTTTATAGATTGTCTAGTTATGGAGTCCCAAATTCCCCCAAAACTGTTTCTCATAATAAGGGTGGTTGTGTCATCTCACATGACAAGATGACAATATTTCATTAAAATCAACACCGTGGATCTATTTCATTTTG